AGCTTATCCAGGCAAAAAGCTACCTACGTACCGAATTTTAAGCAAATCGGACCATAAATACGATTTCTTCGAACAGATCGGTCCCTGGTCCACTTCTCGGACAAAATGGATCATATATGCTAAAAAGCTACCTACGTACCGAATTAGAATCGGACATATAGTTCAAGATCGGTCCCTGGTCACTTCTAGGACAAAATGGATCGTATATGCTAATATATGCTAAAAAGCTACCTACGAACCGAATTTTAAGCAATTCGGACAGTAAATACGATTTTTTCGAATAGATCGGTCCCTGGACCACTTCCCGGAAAAAATGGGTCATATATGCTAATATATGCTAAAAAGCTACTTACGTACTAAATTTTAAGCAAATCGGACTATAATACGATTTTTTCGAATTGACCGGGCCCTGGTCCACCTACCCGAAAAAAAGTAAAATTTTTTTAGCCTAAAACATGGTGGTTACCGAAAGCTATTTGTATACAAAATTTCATGAAAATCGAACCAGCCACTCGCGAGATTACCTGTTACAAAAAAAAGGGACTTTTCTTTATATAATTAGTATAGATATTCTACATGAAATACATGTTTTATTTGCGTAAAAAATTCATTTAAAAGCAATATTAACAAAAATATAACGATGGAATATTATGTCACGTGACGCTACGTGGCCCAAAAAAGTTAAAGAAAACAAATGGTATTCCTTGTTTGTATCACATTGAAACGTACGACTGTCACGTATGCGACGTATGGAAATACCCATATGTAAGTGTTATTAGTAATACTTATTACCCTGTAGTCAAATGTACTAGCTGTAAACTACCTCACAACTAATATGAACCGCATGCCCAACTAGTCAGCCAACTATCTTTTTTCCACGCAATCAACTGGTATTTTTAACATGGGGATGTCCTACAAGATGGCAATTGTCAGATTTCGGTCAGAAATATACCAGTCTCATACTAGTTCAAAACAGACAGAAAAATACTAGTCCAATTATGGACCAAAACCGCTACTTTGGAAGTCAAAAAATTAAATGAATTCATGAATATACAATGAAAGACTTTTGATTAAATATACTTTAAAATATTACACATTTATATTTAGCAGCCTTAGATTTGCCAATAATTAGTGTAAAAGTTTTTGAGTATTAATTAAAAGGGACAATAAATACATAAATATTTGAAACATTCGAACATAAATTTAAAGACATGTTCCATTAAATGATATTAAAAGTAAAAGCTTTCAGGTACAATAAATACTATATTTTTATATTTTTTTAATAATATGGAAAAGAAAACATTTTAGTTAAGAATAAAACGAATACTATAGTTCATTTTGAGTAAACTAAAATAAAAATAAAAGTTTTCATTAAAAGAAATTAAATTCGTTAACTTTGCACATTTCAGTCCTTTCGTTTTAAAATGTTTTTAAAGTAATAATTAATGTTTAAAGTTTGAGATTTGGATAAGAATAAAGTAAATAAATAATTCAAGCAGTTAATAAATATTCCTAATTCTTGTCTTTACTTTGGCTTGTTGATTGATAACACTGGTCTACAAGGGTTTTGCGAATAAGACGGGACCTGGTGTTTCCGAACGGATTTTTCGTGCTGAACACGAATCTGGGGTCCAAAACTTCCCATCACGTCACGTTTTCGAGAAAAAAGGGGTTGAAACCCCTAAAAACAGCGTTTTTGGCTTTAAGATTTTATTCTTTTAATGTGGACTTAGCACATTTTCTATCAACCTTTTTTCCATTATTTTTTATTGTTAAAAGATTTAATTGCTTAGTTTAAATATATTTTATTGTTTTAAAATGAATTATAACCTTATCCAGTTTTATTTCATTGCTATTAATAAAAATAACTATTTTAAGTCGTAAATTTATGTACCATTTATAAAAGAAAATAATTAAAAGCAAGTAAAGAGGTATAAGTTTTGGCGAAACCGATCTTTATATACCCGGCGCAGGTATCAAATACTGTCGTAAGCAGGGGCTTTTTTTCCGATTCCAAAGGTTTTCGATAATATCCTGAGTTAAACTCAATGAAATAATTGAACCACGTTTAGTGGAAATCGCTAATCGGCTACCGAAATACACCTTGTAGTCATAAAGTGGGCGGTGTCACGCAGTCTTATTTATTGTTAAGAGATTGTTGTAAGTATTAACTTGAAGTAAATTAGCGTCTTCAGTTATTGAAATATCAGTTTCCGTATTTTTGAAATTTACCGTTAAATATACGGGAAGCGAATGTAATTTTGGTCCGATTTGAATAATTTTCAACGAATTGCTTTTCCGTACCAGGTTTATTAAGTGCACCGAGTTTGGTAGAAATTGATAAATCGGTTACCGAGTTACACATTTGTGGTCATAAGTGGGCGGCGCCATGCCCATTATCCAA